GGGGGGAGGGAGAGAGAGAGAGAGAGAGAGAGAGAGAGAGAGAGGGAGGAAGAACGCGGCTGATTGTCGTCGAGTCGACGACGACACAGGATGAACCTGACACCTCCGTCTTCTTCGCCGAGGGTAGTTCACCGAGCAGGGAGAGAGAGAGAGAGAGAAAAAGAGAAACAGATATAACGGATAAGATCCATGGACTTGTGGATTTCTTGTCTATCCGTAGCTGAACGTTGAGATGCGACCTTCGTGGTGTTGATAGACCGCGTTTGCAATCGCGTGAGCGATCGTATTCTCTTTTTCTCTTTCTCTCTCTTTCTCTCTTTTTACCCCTTTCTCTGTCCATAACGAAGAGGCCGCCCATAAGCGCTCCGGTTATTGTGCTCGCGATTATCGGACACACGGTGATCCGGTTGTTGCCCGCGCGTATTCGCACGAATGATACACGTGCGTGTCACCGGTGACACTTGAACGACGACTAAGGACGTGATGTTACGACAATCGACGATCGATGATGAGTACGTATGCTCGATGATTGTAGGGGGCCGTCTCGATGCGATCGTTCACTCGCATCCATAAATCAGTGAGCACGCGCTCGTGATCGATGGTGAACCGGTCGTGGGTGATGTTACGACGAGGACATTCGAATCCGTTGTCGTATGCTACCGGGGTAACCGCCACTTTATAATGTCCGCACAGATCGATCCGCGAGTGATTCGCCGGGCGAGAGCGGGCGGGAGGGAAAGCCTTCAACTTCCCACAGTGTATGTTTTAACGTGTACATGGAAGACGAACTCGCTCGGTGCGAGCCGTGTCTCTCCTGAGCAGAGACGGACGGGAAAAATCCTTTTGGGTCAACGTTGAGGCGTATCCGTAGCGCACGCAGCTCGACGATGCCGCTCGCGACGCGACGCGGATTCGTATGGAGTCAGCCGGCGCGAACCGACCGCGAATCGGTACGTTCTCGCCGGAGTGACCAATCCGGGGACACTTCTCGTCGACACACTCGAATCGATTTTCCCGTTACCGCACCGGAGCCCGGCGCACCGCGGATGCGGCAAACGCAACCGTAGTAGACGCGAAACGTTACATTTTCCGAACAGTAACACCAGCTGCACTGGTGGTCGCTTCAGATACCGTTATCTTTCCCTTCTCTCCCGAGAAGTCACAGCTTACCGTTCAAATGTCACAGTAAATATTCGAAATAATTGAACCCGCGACTTCTTTCTCTCCCTCCTTCCTTTACCCTATACCTCTATTATGCCCGTTTCTACCAACGTCCAATGAACCTCTTCAGTGATGATTTAAAATACTGCACGATTTTTTTCTTAGGTCTATTCTTTTTAGCTGCACTGTTGCAATAACTTATTGCAATGCAATAACTTATTGCAATGCAATAAGTTAGAGTGAGACAAATATATTTTATTTCACTTTAGTTTAGTGCACCAGTGTAGCAGTGCAGCTGAAAAGAACAAACCACTTAAGGCAGAGAGAGAGAGAGAGAGAGAGAAAGAAAGAGAGTATTTCTTTTTTGATTAAGCATATCTAGATTTTTTCTCTTTATTGCTACTTTCTTAGAAGAATTTTATAAAATTGAATGCAAAATATATCTAATTTGCATTCGCTAGAAGTAAGAAAATTCAGTTTAAGTAACTCAAAAGGAATTTGATATCTCACGGAACTTTTTTCCCGGGCATAGCACTGAAACGGTTAAACCTCAATCTGAGCTTAAGTCTTTGTCTGAGGAAAGTTTCAGCTCAGTTGGTAGAAATAGACATTACTCTCTTTTGCTCTTTTTCACCTCCTGCACTCCTCTCTTCCTCTCTCTATTGAATGAGCAATAATTGTAAATCGCTGTGAGGATGCGTCGCGAAAAATGTTTCGCGCGGGACAGAAAGAGAAACAAGAGAAACGCGATTTTCCTTTCCGTTCCAAATCGGTACCGGCCTATTCGGATTCGAATGGCGATTTTCCGGGGGCGGGCGCGTTCGTCGCGCGAAACAAACGACGACATTGTAAAGCGCTCGAGCCTGATCGGAAACAAAACACGCATGGCTACATACAATGGCACGGCGAAACGGATTGTTCGCTCGCGAATTACCGGTCCCCGCGCGCCCACTCGATGGATTGAAACCCGTCGATTCGAATTACGAAATAGTACACCGCGCCATGCGCGTGATTGTGACTCGATTTCATCGGACGCGATATCCGAGACACGCTCACTCGCGAGAGCGACATTGTCGCGCGGAAAGTCGCTCCCAGACAATGCGCCCGCGCTCTCTCTCGTCGAGCATCCGACGGACAAATCCCGACGCGTTCCGCGTTTACGCGTGGAATTTTGCAGCATTGTCATACACAAATGCGATATATTGTCATGTCAACGCGCATTATTTCATCCGCGCGACACGGCACTTTCATCATCGATTCGGCACCAAGTCTCGCCGGCGACGCGACAATTTTTCACTTCAACGAAAATTCCCGCGCGAATCCAACGGGTCATCTCATCGTCCGCGTTACACGATTCGCGTAATGTATCGAGACCAGACGAACTCCGCTTTTCGCTAGAACAGTGCGTCTTCCCTGATTGCCTCTAAAAGCGGATCACACGGCCAACTGAAATTTTCGTCGCTTTCGAATCAAGAAAATTCTAGTCCCGTACTAAGGCGAAGTGTTGTTTCAAGCGGCGCTTTATCGCAAAAAGATTCCGTTCCCTCAGCCAGAGAGAAGTCAAATAATTTCCGCGTTGAAGCACGAAAATTAGTCGCGCGGCCCGCCGAAACGATGATACGTTTCACCTGTACAGTATCGTGACACGATTTCATTCGCGAGCAATGGCGTTCGCGAGAAGCGGCTGGACGGTCTCCTTTCTCGTTGGGAAGGAACGAAGCGTACATAACAGTGAGAAGGAAGGAAGATAGGAAGGAAGGTAGGATGCGAGGAACAAATCGAGTCATTCTATTATTATTTTTCTTTTCTTTTTCGAGACACTACGCGCGTTCGCGTTTGCGAGCGAGAGGATCTCGAGGCGAGTGTAAAGTTTAGAATTCCGCACGTTCAATTGTAAATGACACTTATACATTGTAAATACACGTATGTACGTACGTTTGTTGTGTGTGGTGAGTGACGATCGCGCGCGCGCGTTTCGCGCCGCGAAGTGATGAGAAATGGGGACGCGTCGCGCGCGCATGACGACAACGAAATTTTTCAATCGCGCGAGACGCGACGTTCATTATACATAAACGACTTAGAGGACGAGCATTATCCGACATACCATATAACGATCACGCAGAAGCGGAGGAAGAAGTAAAAACGCAAAGTATAGGATTGACGATATCGAGTAGTATGTCATGGTGAGCGAGATCAGCTAGAGATTATTATCAAGAGTTTTGTAAATAATAAGAGAAATATTAATAAAACGATACACTTATGCGAACACACCAATGAAGCCCGTGTCTACGCACGCTGCGTATATGATCATTCATTTCTCTTCCTCCCTGTTTCACCCCGGGAGAAACCGTTCAGGAAAATCGCCGCGTGAAATCGCGGCTGTCTCTGCATAAAAAGTTCCTCGGGATCTTCAATTGGGATTCCGTTTGATTCTTTGGCAAATTTTCCGAGTCGAAATTCTAATCACTTCCAGCCTCACTACATTCCATTCAACACTTATTTTGTCGCTAAAGAAAGTGAAAACAGAAATTTTGAACATCATCAGAGTCAAAGTGAGAGTAAATTGTATCATTAGAATTAAATCTACTTTGTTAACTTAATGCTCCTGCTGCGTTGTAGAATTCAAGGTTGAATATAGGGCTAAAATTTCGACTCGGATTGTCAACTATGATCAGAAGATCTATGCCGTAACTCGGGTTAGAATTGCAATGTTATAAATTCACGTAATTTTCCAAGTGGAAAAACCAGACGAATCTCATATTTGCTCTCGCCAACGTTCCCCCAAAGATTTTTCCCCGTTTTTATTTCACATTAAAATCGAACGGAGTATATGTGAAACACAGCGCTTCTCATGTTTCAAAATATTTTCAAGTGCTTCCAAGTATTTTGAATATTTTTTTACTCTCTTTTGAAATTCAACAGTTGAAAAACAAGATTTCATTTGATTTTATAAAACCATTTTGGTTTTACGAAATTAAAAAAATACCGTTAGAAAATGCACTAGTTTTCATAATGTTCTTCAATTTCAAGTAAAAAACCACCCCGTCGGGGTGAAAATGGCACTCCTGATTGCTGTTGTAGGGGGATAACTAATTCCGAGTCAAATTTGAACATTCCGATCGGGATCTATGTTACATTCTCGGCGACTTGTCTCGGTAGTACGTTCAGCGAATAGCAGAAACGGAAAGCCATCTACGCGTCCTCCGGAGGCGCAGTCGCATAAAAACGCGTACATACACGCGCTCGTGTCAGTTCGATGCTGGGTCAAGGTTCACTCTTATTCAGTCGCGCGAGTGCGAGAAGAGCGGCATTCAGCAATGAAAATACGAGCCCTCGTCGCGCTAAGAATGTTTCATTACATCTCTCGCGATTTTCAATCGCTCTCGGCCTGAGAACGCCGGCTCTCGTCCGGCCGTCAGACGCCATGGTAACACCCTTGCCCTGAGAAAGGGGCGAGCGGAGCCCCTGCGTCCTGGTGATGAGGCGACGACGCAGAACGTTGGCCCCGTAATGTCGTAACCCCCTTGGAGCGCGCCGTGTACCTACGATTATTAAGGTAAGCCGATCTTTCTCTCTCTCTTTGTCTATTTCTCTCTCACTCACTCTCTCTCTCTCTCTCTCTTTCTCTCTCTCTCTCTCTCTCTCACCGACGGACGGGCACGCGGAGCGGCAGGTACACGCGCGCGAAGCCGACGACGAGCCGAGTCAGTCGGTCGTTATTGGATATTTTCCGAAGGGGAGAAAGACG